TTCCCCCCAGTAAAGTTGATTAAACCAATTTCTCCCCAACCAGTGAAATTGGTTAGACCAGCTCTCCTCACTAGTGGAGTTGGCTAGACCAAGCCTCCACCAGTGCGCTCCCACACACACACACACACCATCTCATTATTACAGCAATACATAAACACAAGTCAAGACTATGCATTACAAACATTTATTTTCATAATGGTGACGAAGAGTCGGCTGGACCTGAAATATATATCAACGCTCCCTTCCCTGCTCGGACCATTTTACCACGTGACTTGTGCTCGGAACGCTGCTCGGATACACTGACTTACACGTGACACGTGCCCGGAACTCTCTGCACGTAGCGTTCGTGCCTTGACAAATTTACAAATTCTGTCAAATGCTAAATCTCGAATTGTGTATATATGACCCCTTTGTGTATCGTATAAGAAAATAGTATGTTAACTAGCCGCGATTGTTGTATATACGGAGATTGTGTATAAACCACGTATTGTTTTGTTTTTATATACTTATATTGGTATGCAAATTATGAGTCCCAAATTGTGGAACCTTCCACGTATGATATATACAACCTGTCTATCTCCCAACCAGTTTAAAGAGAAACTAAGAAATATTTACCAGTTTGAAGAGCAACTAATATATATTTACTTATGTAACATATTTCTTTTCTATTTCCTCATCCCCATAACAAGACATTTATAGTGTTTCCTGTTATTGTAAAATTTTATAAATTAAAAACGTTAGTCAATAACAGCCTACATTTTCACTATTCTCAATCTTTACCTCATCACTACAGAAAAAAAAAAATCCAGACAAAATTAATTATTCCCATCTCTTAAACAATCTATTGAGTTTACCCTCCCTCAAATTTATAAAAGAAAACGAATATTTTTTGAAAGAGAAAATGAACATATTTTTGTAAGTTTAGGGGCAACTTTTATTTTATTGAATTAGGGGGGTCCCTTTTTCCTAATGAGACTAAACATGGGTGCAACCATATTCACTTAGTATGAAATATATTCTGATTTTTAAGTCTCCGAAGGTATTCAAAAATTTTAGGAGTGTCGATATTGGAGGATATGGTACAATTAAGATGATTTTCATTGTCTTACAATGAAAAACAGGCATTTCAGGCAGGAAAGAGGTGAGGTACAATGTCTTTAATAGGATATTAATAAGGTATTAGTAAGATAAATGTGTATCAATGATCTTACTCAAATCGCCCTTTAACTGATCAATCAATCAATCAAAAATGAATCTAAAATGGATTTAGATACATTTTTGATTGATCAGCTAAAGGGCAATTTGAGTAGGATCATTTATACATTAGGCCGATCATTGAGTAGGATCATTGATGAACATATACTCTACCTAAGGCCAAAAATCGTCGTATTAGAAAATGGAAGCGGCTCGCGAAAGTGACATACTGTCCCGTTTTCTGTTTTGGGACCTCTGGTGGGTTAGAATAAGGGCCCTTTAGTGCGACAGTTTCTTGACGTTGGGAAACCTTTTAGCAGGACGGGCTGCTGTTATATATATATATATATATATATATATATATATCCTCCGAGGCTATGGGTCCCCCTTCTTCCAGCTAGAGGTGGTACTCCCTTCCTATTGTATATATATATATATATATATATATATATATATATATATATATATATATATATATATATATATATATATATATATATATATATATATATATATATATATATATTACAAAAAGATAAAAAAAATGGTTCAAAACTCTACGGAAAATATATCCCCGATTTCGGATTTCATCGAAATTGCAAAGGGGGGTATATCGGAGCCGGATATTGCTAAAAAAGAGTAGCCCGGTGGCCAACCAGCCTAAGACACATATACATGACTGGACACATGTCAGGTGTTGATACACACAATTTAGGTTGTTCTCATCTAACATTTCTCACCAGCCAGCTGGCTTCGCCACACAGGAAGCCAGCAACTAGGCTCCATCATCAACGCTTCCTCATCGCCAACTCTTCTACTTGATCTTATCAAAATATGCATATATCACTCATCTATATAATCAGACTTTATTGAATAAATGATCTGGAAAAATGTGGACGAATTTGCATACCCAAAATCAGTCATTGTGAAATATTGGTGGGTGATATTTTCACCGTATTTGGGCAGTTGTGTATAGCTGTTATTTTCACTGAAGCACGACGCGTGTTACACTGCTGAATCTGACCTATCCTGACCTGACCAATCCTGACTTGTAGTACTATAACCTGATTTATCCTTATCTGACGTACTGTAACCTGACCTATCCTCACCTGACGTACTGTAACCTGACCTGACGTATCGTAATCGGACCTATTCTGACCTGACGTATCGTAATCGGACCTATTCTGACCTGACGTATCGTAATCGGACCTATTCTGACCTGACGTATCGTAATCGGACCTATTCTGACCTGACTCACTTGCCCTATCCTAACCTGACCGATTCTAACCTGATGGGAATAGGATAGAATAGGTATAACACCTGATGTGTGTGGAGCAAGCGTTTAGTTAAGGACCCCCTTAAAATAAATGCTCACTCGTATGATAATGTATCAGTATCCTGACCCATCATGACCTATCGTGACCTAAGCAAGCCTTATACAGCCTAGTTTATTTTCACCCCGAAAAATAAAGAGCAGAACAACATTTAAAGACGCTATGAATAACCACACTGAACTCAGTATTGTACCGGCGTTCGAGGCCCCTCCACTGAAAGGCAACCACTGTGAAAAAAAAGGCGCCAAAGTTAAATAAGTAAAATACAATAACAAAAGTTAATTTGTAAAATTAGTCCAGTTCGTTCGTTACAGAACGAACAACGGTGTATTGTTGACAAGACCCGGGACTAGGTAGGAAGGTTTGGATGAGTGAAGACACGTTCATGTCACTTCAAAACCGGTTGGTCAGCAATATTTTCCCAGGACTGCCGGGTGGTATTTCATGGCGGAGTGAGTCTGTCTTGTGTGGCCATACCGCTTGCACGAGTGTGTCTGGGAGTGGCCGCTGTACCTGGGAGTGGCCGCTGTATCTGGGAGTGGCCGCTGTACCTGGGAGTGACCTCTGTACCTGGGAGTGGCCGCTGTCCCTGGGAGTGGCCGCTGTACCTGGGAGTGGCCTCTGTACCTGGGAGTGGCCGCTGTATCTGGGAGTGGCCGCTGTACCTGGGAGTGACCTCTGTACCTGGGAGTGGCCGCTGTCCCTGGGAGTGGCCGCTGTACCTGGGAGTGACCTCTGTACCTGGGAGTGGCCGCTGTCCCTGGGAGTGGCCGCTGTACCTGGGAGTGGCCGCTGTACCTGGGAGTGGCCGCTGTCCCTGGGAGTGGCCGCTGTACCTGGGAGTGGCCGCTGTCCCTGGGAGTGGCCGCTGTACCTGGGAGTGGCCTCTGTACCTGGGAGAGATGGCAAAGACAGACAGCTCACCTGAGCAGGCTGAGCTCAGCGCCTGGGAACGGATCATTGTAAACATTAAGGTACTTGTTAGTTCTGCTTGATATTTCAGCTTTACTGAGAAGTGTCAAGGACCGTGAGTGAGAGACGGAAGGAAGGACGTGTCACGGCTGAGAAAGACAGACGTCATGACAGGCAAATGTGAACAGTATGACAACATTGTCAAGAGAGACAGACCAGTGAATACATGGCGTCACGTAGGCGACAGGAGTTCAAAAACGGTATTTGTTATTCGGAATTAATTTGTAATAACTATTCGTTAGGCTAGGCTACCGCTCACGCTCGCTAGGCTTGGCCTATCCCTCCCATCCTCCGTTGGCAGCCTCGTTACCCCCAACACCTGCCAATCCTGCAGCTGACACCCACCGGCACCCGTGCCATAACTTGTCCTATCTCTCGGGGACACAGCGTGGCACTGATCCTGATAAGATAAGCAAGCCGCCCCACCCCACCTTGTGCGCGTCCTGATACAGTGGTTCAGCTGTTAGGTTTACTTGTTCTGGTCTCCATGTGGGGTTTACCACTTATTAAGACATGAGAAGTGTGGCACTTTATTGACCCAAGTTTGTTTATAGGAAGAAATCCGTGTGTGTGTGTACTCACCTATTTGTGCTTACGGGGGTTGAGTTTTGGCTCTTTGGTCCCGCCTCTCAACTGTCAATTAACTGGTATATATGTGTGTGTGTGTACTCACCTAATTGTGCTTGCGGGGGTTGAGCTTTGGCTCTTGGTCCCGCCTCTCAACTGTCAATCAACTGGTGTACAGGTTCCTGAGCCTATTGGGCTCTATCATATCTACATTTAAAACTGTGTATGGAGTCAGCCTCCACCACATCACTGCCTAATGCATTCCACCTGTTAACTACTCTGACACTGAAAAAGTTCTTTCTAACGTCGCTGTGGCTCATTTGGGTACTGTGTGTGTGTGTGTGTGTGTGTGTGTGTGTGTGTGTGTGTGTGTGTGTGTGTGTGTGTGTGTGTGTGTGTGTGTGTGTGTGTGTGTGTGTATTTTGACAACAAACGGCGTTAACTTGATACTAATAATATTCTTCAGTCACCCACTTTCACTCATAAAAAACGTGCACATGAAAACAATAGTTGAACGCCCACTCGCGCGATAACACTATCTTTCATTAGTGCCTACCCCTCCCTACCAGGCCTCACCTGTTCCACCTGTCCTCTCTTGTCCTCCCCCCTCCCGTGTGCTATCCCACTGTCTCTCATCCCCTCCCCTAACCCACCCCTTTCCCCTTCCCATCTCCTAGCCCCATTCCTGTTTCTCTTCAACCCAATCCTCCTCCTTCCCACAGACTTTCCCACAATTCCTTTCCATTTCTTGCCCTCTTTCCATGCCTCTTCGCGCATACCGCATACCACCCTCCCCCCCCCCCTTTGCCTCTTATCAGCACCAGAAACATGTGATTACTTCCCCCCTCCCCCTTCCATAGTGAGTCCCCCTTCTGCCAGCCATCCTCCCCGTCCCTCCCGTACCCCCCACCCCCTCCCTCAATCGTCCGCCCTCTCCCTAATCAGCTTGACAAGTTCGCGTCTCAGTACGGGTCATGTCTAAGTGGGCCGTTACAGGTGAAGCAGCAGCCGCCCCACCACCGCCAGTAGCAGTAGTAGCGGGAACGGGAGCAGCGGGAGCAGGAGCAGCAGGAACGGGAGCAGCGGGAACGGGAGCAGCAGGAACAGGCGCAGCAGGAACCGGAGCAGCAGTGCCATATGTGCCTTTGGATCTGCGTATTTGGGATCTTTGGCACCTGCTAGTAAGTGCTGAAGGTAAGCTTTTGGGCGTCCGTCCTCGCTTCCAGCAGTGGTCTCTATCTGCCTCTCTTCCTCGGTCTTGCTAGAGAAGGTCTCGTTTCCTCGGTCTCGTTTGGGGGGACCTTACTACCTCTATTTCGCTAGGAGTAACCCCATCGAGTATATCAGTGCTTCTATCCTGCTTTCCTAGATATAGGGTGATGTATATCTGGTCTCCCTCTGGCTGTAGTGAGATCGCTGTAGTGTTGCTGTAGGAGTGTAATTGTTGTAGTTTGGTTGATGTATTGTGGTTGATGTATTGTGGTTGCTGTATTGAGGCCACTGTAATCGCTGTAATATGGTTGCTATAATGAGGGCGCTTGAGTGTGATAGCTGGTCCTTGACCTAACTACTGTTATCAATAAGATATCATTTACTATTACTGATATATATATATAGTAATGCCTTACCATTGCTTCTGTATAGTTCTTCCAGTATTGAATCAAATTGGGCATATTCCATTTGCCCGCAATAGGCCTATGCAGTAAGGTGACAACACCTGACCCTATTCAATAAGCCTGTCCTCCTAAGGTTCCCGAACGTCAAAAAACTGTCGTATTAAAGTATTATTTATCCTAACCCACCAGAGGACCCAAAACAGAAAACGGGACAGTATGTCAGTTTCCCGAGCCGTTCTCATTTTCTAGTACGACGATTTTTGGCCTTAGAGTATACGTCAAAAATGCGACGTACTATTATGAAGGACGGTTTGCTCTCTGCCAACTTCGTACATGCTTTCTACTCTCCTTAGACCTGCATAATTAACTATGCCATATGCTTATTCTAGATTAATAAGGTCATGTGCATTTTATTTATTCTCAAAGGCTCTCTGCATGGTCTCAATACCCCCTATTGTATATATATAACAAATTTAACAATATTTTACAACAATTGGAACTACGTTAGCAACCCTCCATGTTACAGCAGAAGTCTAGGGTAGAGTAAAAAAGTTTTTATTTAATATCCTTATTATTCAACCATCGAGTTCTTACAAATATTTTTGTTTAATACCAATAATTATCTGACAATGGCTCGGTGACTTTTATTGATTTAATTTGTATTTCTTGTTTACAGATCTCAGTTTTTATAATTAGTAAGTTACATACTGTATTGTGTACACTTTGTGCATAAATAATATGTACTTTTAGTACTATCTGGTTCTTCCTTTTGAGGGCTAATGGAAAATAATTATAAAGAATTAAATGATAGGTGATAAATGAGTTAGCAGACTGAACACACAACACACACACATGGCTAGCCAGAGTGAACACACCAGACTAGGCACAATACAGCTACATATGACACACGTGACTAAGGGAAAATGACACATATTCAACACATGTCCAACGACTGACACAGAACCGGTAATCAGCGGTGATAAAGAGATAAGGACAGGCCAATCACTGAACACGGACCTTATATGACAAACTACGGAACTGCCGAGCTGTTTTCACATGTTGCTATTGAGCAACGCCTTGAGTGACGACTGAAGGCGTTGGGGGGGAGGGGGGGTCCTGACGGCTGAGTGGACAGCGCTCTGGCATTCGTAAGTCCAAAGATTCCGGGTTCGATCCCCGGCGGAAGCGGAAACAAATGCGGAGAGTTTATTTCACCCTGATGCCCCCTGTTCACCTAGCAGTAAATAGATACCTGGGAGTTAGACAGGCTGTTACGGGCTGCTTCCTGGGGCGGATGAAAAAGGAGGCCTGGTCGAGGACCGGGCCGCGGGGACGCTAAGCCCCGAAATATTATGGGTGGCGTGTAGCCGTGTGGGCGGCATCACTTGTGGCACTCTTGTCGGCACGCCCATTACAAGGGGAGGGGGGGGAGTTGAGAGTGACGTTAATAGGTGAAATTAGAGGGGTTGGGCACTGTTGTTGATGGAGGGGGGGGGGGAGGGGGGGGGGGAGAGAGAGCAGAGGGAGGGTAAGAGAGGGGAGAGAGAGAGAGGGAAGGGTGTTAAGAGGCGGAGAAAAGAGGTACTGAGAAGGGAAAAAGCGTGGAGCTAAAAGAGGACATAAATGCTTAGAGGATGATAAAGGGTGGTAACAGAGAGGGGAGAGAGAGAGGGGGGGCGTCAGTGAGGGGGAGGGGGGAGAGAGGGGGAGGTTACATATGTGCCCACAACTGCCCCATATATAGTGACGTAACCCCACAACAGTCAATGAAGGTGTTGTCAAGGGGGGGGGGAGTTCCCGTCACGTGGTGATTGGATAATGACATGAATGAAATGGACTTGATGAATGAGCTAGTTGGAACACAACAATAGTGCCCCACATGTCATGTTGGGCACGTGACATGTTGAGCACGTGGCATGTGGAACACGTGACATGACTGTGTTCAGGGGACGGACGAACACATGATTACAACATGAAGAAATGAATGAAAACACGTATAAACGTACAGGGTAAGATGAAGGAAGAACTACAAGATGAAAGCAGAGAAAATCCTTCATTAAAGTTCTGCAAATTAATGCCCGACAAATGACGCCCTTACACTGGCGCTGTTTACAGTCCGTCAGTGTTGATGGTTGTTGGCGGAGAAGAGGGGGAGATGGTCAAGGGCGGTGAACCTATGGCACGCGTGCCAAATATGGCACGCAAGCCAATTTTGTTGGCATGCAGCGCCGCCCCGTCATTTGTTTAAGAGTGCTTTCAGGCATGTTGTTCTCTTTCTCCGTACAAAATGGTAAAATATTGTACCAATATATCAGACGCTTTCAGAAAGTTTTGCCCCCTGCATGGAGCAGATAGTAATTCCATAGTTACCGCTAAAAATGCGGCGGATTATTAAAAAACACAGTTTTCTATGATTCGGCCTCGATTGGTTAGGTGGGTTTGTACATTTCTGGCCAGGCTAAATGAGTGGCAAATGAAGAGGCTGGATTCTGTGTGCCATTTCGGTTCACAGACCGGACTGGTAAGCTGGACCAAGTGTAACAATTTGGGCTCAGTCGTGAACACCTTCCGGTATATAGCCTCTCATTGAGCCCCTCACAGACTTCCTTGTCATTTTCTGTTGGTTCTCTTCCAACCCGTTTGTTTATCCTGGTCACTTTTGGCCCTTCCGTGGCGCCTTTCCTCTAGCATGACTCAGGATCGAGCTGCTTTTGTTTCGTGACCTTGGACGGAGCATCAGTTACATCTCTTTATCGTCCCCCCCCCCCACTCTTCTGGCGCTTATATGTCTTGCCTTCTTCCATAGCTCTGGTGTTTATTCCCTCTTTATTGTGCTCCATTACCTCCTGCTCTTTTATGTTGCCTATTTGGCATTCAAGTATGTTTATTGAGATAAGCAAGAAATACATCTCAAAGGGATAGAGTAGCTTAGGCTATTTCTACCCCCCAAATTTCTATTTCCATTTCTATTTGGCATGCCTTGTTGGTATTTTGGCGACGCTTAACAACAAACATACGTCCCTTTATGCCAACATAAACACAGGCGGTAAAGAGCACTAACATGTTTATCCACATTTTTTTGTCATTTTTATGTCAACAAACACAAGAGAGAAATGACGACTCTATCACCTTAATATTTAAGAATCCTCACCCATTGCTGGGAAGGACACGCAAATGGCGGATCTTGTTCATCTTAAGAGCTCCTGCGCAGTACTTGCAAACTGTACATGCTTTAAAACATTATACTGTGATAACAAAAATGATGTAGGTTATTGCCTGTTGGAGGCAAGCAAAATTTTCCCCGGGGAAGTTTAGTCCTTATGTTGTGAGTCCTTAGGGTCGAATGTAGCGAACGGGGGGCGAGAATGGCTGCAATTGGGAGGTCATATCGTGCATGCAAGTCTTACAGAGGGAGGGGAGGGGGGGGGGTGAGGGAGGGGGTGGGGGGTGGTGGTTAAGGAGGAATCCCTAATGCAGATCCCATTGTAGGGATGCTGCAATGGGGATTCAGGCCGTTCTCCAACGGGACTATTCACCCTACTTCCTCTGTTCACCCAGCAGTAAATAGGTACTCAGTCAACTGTTGTGGGGGTGCATCCTGGAGGGGGGGAGTGGGGGGGGGTCAATAATTCGACCTGGGGGGGGTATTTTTATTTAGTCATGTTTCAATAAGTATTTCTAGTTAAGGGCTTCGATCTTTCTCATTAGTACTCTTGAATCTTGGTTTAAGTGGAAGAGGATCTCTCCAAATGTCATCTTTGTTCTAGGTAAACTAAAAGAATAAATAGCTGTAGAATGTGTTACACTTTATTATAAATGTGCACAACGTTTCGAACCTATATGGTTCATTCTCAAGTGATGGGACTGTACGTTGTTGTTGTTGTTGTTTTTAGAATCAGCTACTGGGAACAAAAGGTTACAAGTAGCACGGGCTATGGTGAGCCCGTAGTGGACTTACCTGGCACAGGAGCTGGGCAAGTAGCACGGGCTATGGTGAGCCCGTAACTTACCTGGCACAGGAGCGGGGCAAGTAGCACGGGCTATGGTGAGCCCGTAGTGGACTTACCTGGCACAGGAGCGGGGCAAGTAGCACGGGCTATGGTGAGCCCGTAGTGGACTTACCTGGCACAGGAGTGGGCAATTAGCACGGGCTATGGTGAGCCCGTAGTGGACTTACCTGGCACAGGAGTGGGCAATTAGCACGGGCTATGGTGAGCCCGTAGTGGACTTACCTGGCACAGGAGCGGGGCAAGTAGCACGGGCTATGGTGAGCCCGTAGTGGACTTACCTGGCACAGGAGCGGGCAATTAGCACGGGCTATGGTGAGCCCGTAGTGGACTTACCTGGCACAGGAGCGGGCAATTAGCACGGGCTATGGTGAGCCCGTAGTGGACTTACCTGGCACAGGAGCGGGGCTAGTAGCACGGGCTATGGTGAGCCCGTAGTGGACTTACCTGGCACAGGAGTGGGGTTGTAACTGGGCTTATTTGATTTATACCGTTGAGGGAGACATATACATATAAATATAAATAGATGAAGAATGAGACGTAAAGGGGTAAAGAATAAAGCGAAAAAAGG